TTATTTATTAATGATTATTTATTAATGATTATTTATTAATGATTATTTATTAATGATTATTTATTAATGATTATTTAATTAATAGGAAGATTTGCTTGATTTCTACTTAAATGATCCAAATTTTAAAACAGATATCGTAGATGATAAATATATGAATGAATTATTTGGCCAATTGTATTTATTGGTTTTTGCTTCGATTAGTACGACATCCAGATTTCTTTCATTTGCCCTCTTTGGTATTTTATTCTATTTTATTCTATTCTTATTTTTCCTATTTAACTACCAAATTGTTAACCTTAGGAATTTGTTCTAATAAAAATTAGATTATGCTGGAAGGCCCGAATTATGGGATGAAATCTACGAAGAACAACTAAAAATTCATAACGAATCTGATGGTATTTTAACTATGGATGATATCCAAAAAATGGTCAAATTGGATTGCTTCTTAAGAGAATCTTTTAGGTATTCTGCAGATATAGGTAATTACACTTGATATTTTAACTTGTATATTTAACGATTTCGATTATATAAAAATAAAATATTGATTATTTTATTTTTATAAATTAGCTACATTAGCCCACACTATGACCAAAGATTCATATACATTTAGCAATGGGGCCACTATACCCAAAGGTACATTATTTTTAAAATTTAAAATTTAAAATTTATTTTAATCTATTTTAATTTATATTAATTTTACATTAATATTATTTTCAACAATCATACAGACCGTGATGTTTTTATCATGCAAAAAGATACAGCCTTCAGTAATAAATTTTATGGAGAAACTGCACATGAATTCCAACCAAAACGGCATATAATTTCTCATTCTAATGGCAAAGTTGTTCACTCACCAGCTACAAAAGTTGATAGATCTTTATTAACTTTTGGAGGTGGTAAACATGCTTGCCCTGGCAGATTTTTTGCTGTTAATGAAATTAAAATGTGTTTACATAAAATGATTTTAAAATATCATATTAGAACTGAAAGTGGTAAAATTGATCCTATTATAGTAAAATCTTCTATGCTCTTACCACCTAATTCTGGTTTAGTTTTGGAAAATCGTGATTAATTAATTATTCATGTGGGTGATTTTATTTTTCAGTTTGGATAATAATGTTAATTATGATTATAATTTATAGTGCTAAATACTGTGAATTATTTTTCTCATTTTGTTCATTTTAAAATCATTTTCATTATTAATATATTTTATATAACTATACCTTTTCGTCTTGCTGTTTTTTTTTGTGTCTAATCGATTTTTTTCCTATATACCAACCAATAAAGAATATATACTTTACAAATTTAATAAATCTACTTGTGACCAGAACAAATTAGATGATCCAAAATTTTCAAAATTGGGTTAGAAAACCAACTTTTATATTTTAAAAAATATCCCTTATACGTATACTTTTTGTATATTTTAACCTTCTATAATCCTACCTCAAGTTACAAAACAGTAGGGATGTTAAGCGTTCCAAAAGAACTTAAGTTCCAGACCGTTTATTGAGGTTTTTAAGTAGTTAGTTCGGTCT